AGAGAGAGAGAGAGAGAGAAAGTAATCTTGTCCAGACTTAATAAAGAAATAAATCTGACTATTTTGCAACAATAAAGGTGAATCTAAAGGATATTATGCTTAGTGAAATCTTCCAGATACAGAAAGAAAAGTACTGCATGATGTCACTTATATGAGAAATTTAAAAAACAAATGCATAGAAGCAAAGAATAAGCTGGTGCTTGCTAGGGCCAAAGTGGGAAGGGAACATGTAGATCAAAATGTACAAAGTTGATTAGGCAGCATGAATAACTCTGGAGTTCTAATAGACAACATGAGGACTATGGTTCATATCATTGTATTATGCACTGGTAATTTGCCAAAAGAATGATTTTACTCTTAACACATACACCAAAAAAGAGAGTAACCACACAAGATGCTAAGTATGCTAATTTTCTTGGCTATAGTTATCACTTTACTATGAATACCAAGCTAAGTCCATTAAAATACCATGTTGTACAGTACTCATTAAACATACACAATATTTCTTAATTAAAAGTACCAAATGTATAGTTTTGACCAACCTGGAGGTCTCTTTCCAGCCACAACAAATGATACCTGTGCCAGGTCACAAAAGCAGGGCCTTGGTGTGAGAAATCTACGGCCTTGTAGGGGCGTCCCGGTCCTAAAGCAATTGGGCAACTTATTAGAGATCACAGAACAGAATATTTAAAATGTTAAACCTTATCTGTCCATATGTCCATGCAGCTAATAAATCCAGGGTGTTTTGTTTTTCTTTAAAAAAAATTATTTAAAAAAAAGCAACAATAACAAAAATTACTAAAGAATTTCAGAAGCAACTAGCACTTTTAGGATAAAACCACTTTCAACTCTCAAAAGTCTGATTTTTAGCACCAAGCCAGAAAATTGAAGTCAGTTTTTGTATAAAGACCCTCGCTACATATTTAATTTTTAAACAGCCATTTCATTAAGACGAAATAGAGTATTCAAGAGTGCGGCCCGTTAAGACCTAAATGACATAGATTTTTAAAAGATATTCTTTAACCTCTCCTCAGTCTTTAAGGGAAAGTTTAATTAGCAATATAAACTTCAAGAGCACTTAGTCCTAACGCAGCATTTATAGAACCAAAAAGAACTTCCATGGATTCTGGCTCACCCATCAATCTGTTACAACGACTGGCTGACAAGCGTGGCCACGGAACTCAGAGGAGAGAAAAATACATTCAAACCAATTTGGCTGGCCACTGGAAATGGCAATTTTAGTGAAATGCTTTGGGCAATTTAATGCCCTCCTTCCTGCCTATTCCATCCTTCTTCCCCCTTTCATTACAGCTTTTGATAGTTATGTAGAAACTTTTGCTAACTTTAGTTCTTTTTCAAAATACCTATAATAACTTCAGAAAGCTGAACAGACATGAATATAAATTTAATTCCCAGATATGGCCAGAAACTATAGTTTTCTTTTTCTCTTGAGAGACTCCCCTCTCATAAAGCAAAAATTCCTCAGAGTGATGACAGGGACACTGTCAAGGTTGATAGCCAGAAGAGCCTCCTTATGTATTGATAAAGAAAGACAGATGCTTACCTGTGAGGCAGGTTTTAAAAAAACCCAGACTGAGAGCTCAATTGCTGTCTGCAGTTGACTATGCAGGGCTTGTTTGTTTTTGTTTTTGTTTTTAACATTTTCCTGTGGAGCAAGGCTTTAAGTTCTTCCAACAATACAACGAGGGGAAATCGAAGGGGTGGGAACAAGTGATAAACACAAGGGTGGGCGACACAAAGTGAGAATATCACTACTCCAAGGGAGCCCAATGTCTTTATTCACCTTCACCCCAACAAGAGAAGCCAGAAGGAGGGACAGTTGCAGGGCTAGCCAAGTGTGCCATGAGCTACAAGAAGGGTCTAGAATGGCTTCAAACTCTCCTAGAACAAACCTATGCCTTCTCCCCAACTGATAACTAACTGAGCAGGAAGCTGGACCTGTTTGATTAATGACTTGCATAGCAGACAACCTCTCATTCCAAGTCTTAGCCAGCCCCAATTTTTACGACCTAGAAGGATCCTCAACATTTCTTAAGAAACATTTTCATTTCACTGTATGATGGTTTGTATCTAGATGTCTCCCCCGACAAAGACTCATGTGGTCACAGGTGGGGCTTTTTCAGAGGTGGCTGGATCTAGGGTGTGTGATGTTGGAATTGATTCACTGTGCAATGCTAGGATCAAGGGTGCTAGGATTAAGGATGTGAGTGGTACCCACCCTAAGGTTAGGTAGCTTGGACAAGATATAAAAGACAGACTTGTTTGCTTGCTTTTGCTGCCTTCTGCCTGCCATGAACTGTTTCTCCTCTGTGATGTGCCTCTGCCATGACACCCTGCCTTGGATCCAGCCAATTACAGACTGAAACCTCTACAAACTGTGAGCTAAGTAAATCTTTCCTCTTTTAACTTTCAGTGTTGGGTATTTTGTCACAGCAATGAGAAAAGTAACTACAACACACTGTTTTCTCAACCATCCAACAAAACCATGGTCCAAAAGCTAAGCAGGAGAAACTAAATGGTTATGGCTACCTTATATTTTCCTCGATGATAGAATGAAAAAAACCTAGCAGTGCCTGAGTGGCACTTAGCTAAAGGCCTAAAGATATGTGAGTTTTATGGTACACGCACTTCCAACACAAACACTCTAATTCTGTGCAAGGAGGTGTCATGTGCTTTGGCCCCAGTTCAGCTAATTCTTCTAATTTGAAGGAGAGGTCAGAGAGGGCTGCCACAGCCAGATTCACAAGTAGTTTTTTCTGGAATCAAAAGGAATTTGCTTCCACTTCACCAACTCATGCCTTTGAGGATTAACAGTTCCATGGAAGACGGTTTAGACTTTGAACCAAGAACATAAACTAGAGGAGAGAACACTTGAAGTGTCTACAGTGTGTACAGGAAGAAACTTCTCCCTTGTGACTTCGGGCAGTCACAGAATTTGGCAATTCTGCAACTTTCACAAACGTAACCCTGCCTTGAGGTTGCTCTCTTCTTAATTAACCTGTGTCAAATGACTTCCCACCCCCTTCCCCAACCCAATCACAAGCCTATTATAGCATGCCTTAAGCCAAGGGGAAAACCCACCTAGTAATGTATCTCTCACAGAATAATAATGGAGCCATACAAAAAAATCATAAATGCTGCAGTTGGCGATCTGTGGCTGGGTCCCCTGAGGCCCGAGCAGGCCCAGCCAGTGCTGCGTGGTGATCACATAGTCGGGGTGTGTGGTCTTCTTGGCGAGGTCTAAGGCGCCCAGGAACTGCTCCCTCTCCTGTGGAGTCAGGGAATGGATGTTCTGCCGGACAACAGGTGGTTTCTTCTGATCACAGTTGGGGCCAGTCCAGCCAAACCGGCAGTCTCCACAGTGATAGCCAGCAAAGTTTCCTAGTGTACACACAGGGAAAGGTGGAAGAAAAAGTGGTGTTATGTAGTTTGGAAGACATTGCTGAACTGGAATTCTGGGGTGGAATGGAGGAAAACACAAAGGGCAAAGAAAACCAATTTCCTGGGTCACACAGAGGAAAGATGCTGGAAAGATACCAGGGAAGTGAGTCCAGGAGAGGCCTCAGGAGAAGCCACTCTTCTGACACTTCGACTTGGGGCCTGACACTTTGACTTTTGACTCCAACCTCCACAGCTGTGAGGAAATAAACTTCTGCTATAAAAGCCAAAAATATAAAAAAGTCAATTTCCTTCCCTTAGTCTCCTGTTAAAATCCAAGTGTACTGAGCGTTAGAAAGTTCCCTAAAAATATCTCCAGCAAAGAAACAGGACATTAATTCATGATGTAATATAATAGGCTGACCCGTATCTCCTTCAAAATGTATCATTCAACTCCTCATCCCTGGTACCTCAATATGTGACCGGATGAAGAGAGCAAGTCTTTGAAGAGGTAATCAAGGCAAAAAGAACCCATGGGTTTCGCCGCATATCCAGTGTAACAGGTGTCTTTATGGGAAGAAGAGACAAGGACACAGACACACACAGAGGGAAGAGCAGGTGAAGACACAGGGAGATAGCAGCCTCTATTAGCCAAGAACTCAGGCCTCACAAGAAACCAAACCTGCCAACACCTGGATCTCAGACGTCCATCCTCCGGCACCAAGAGACATAAATTTCTATTGTGTAAACCACTCCAAATTGGTCGAGGGGCGCTTGCAAACCAACACAAGTGCTCTTGCGTAGCAGAGGGCCGGCCCTTCCTACATCCTCTCCACACCCTAACCTGGGGCAGAGCAGCCCCCGGGGACTTCCTGTATGGCACACAGCTCTGGACTGGCACACACCAGTCCACTGACTTAGAGAAGGAGAAAATACACCAAGCTAAGGGGAGTGCGGGGTAAAAAAGCTGACTTTCAGGAATTCAGGTGAGCTCCAACTCTAAAAATACTGCTTTATTTCCCAAGGGAGAGAGCGTTAAAATGAAATCAGTGATGGCTGGCAGGTTCTGAAGTGAATGCGCTGCCTCGATGACTCGAAGGTGCAAAGCACTGAAGGCTTTTGCTGTCGGTGACTTAGTGCCACAGCTTTGTCAATGCCCAGGGAGGAGCACAAGTGATACCCAGCTGAGCGTTCTCTGATTCCCATCCAGACTAAATCATTATATTCCGAGGCTTTGTTCTTCCTTCTTAGCATTGTGGATTACTGTTTTGGGCATAACCAGGACCTCATTCCTCAGGGGGTGATATGCTGGGGATAGTACTATGGCTGTAGGAGAGAGGGGTTATTGGCTCTAAAATTAAAAAAGAGAAGGGAGTTCCAAACAGCATGAAAACAAAACAATCAGCATTTTTATACTCTATAAAGAAAGGAGAGCTTCCTTTCTATTAACCCAGGGATTTTTTGATGGCTAAGGAAAATTTCATTAAAAATACAACAGAGACAATTAAATATAACTATTGGTTATGTGCATTCTCTGCTTCTTTGTAACATACAAAATATTGCTATTACTCTTACAAAGCCAATTATTTGTATTTTCCTGTCTCATAAGTAAAAAAAATTTAAACAGAAAAATTTTACTGTTTCCAGCTGAAAATTTGTGTTTTCTAATAATTTGAGTGAAATACTGAAATTTATATTGAATGATGGAGGGAAACTATTAAATATATGGTATTTATTTCACAAATACTTGCTGGACAACTACGATAACATCAGATGCCCTTAAGGCTGCTTTGGGTTTCACGGAACTTGGAATCTATTTATTTTCCCTCAGGCTATTTTACTAAAAGTCTAAAATATCTATTTTTAAAATAACTTTCATTAAAACATATCACCTATTCTCATGGCTTTTATGGAAATATGACATTTTTTGAAAGTAGATGTTAAAAATACTGTGTCTACACAAAAATCAATAGCTTTCCTCTGCACGAAAAACACTCACTGAGAGAGAAATAGGACAAACAATTCTTTCACAATAGCATCCAAAAAACTGAAATACCTAGGAATCAATCTAACAAAAGAAATCAAAGACTTCTTCTCTGAAAACTACAGCACTCTGAAAAGAGAGGCTGAAGATGATATCAGAAAATGGAAAGACATCCCCTGCTCCTGGCTAGGAAGGATCAACATAGTGAAAATAGCCATACTTCCAAAACTGCTATGTAGATTCAATGCAATCCCAATTGAAATCCCAGCAGCATACTTCATGGACCTTAAGAAAACAATCCAAAAATTCATTTGGAACAAGAAGAGACCCAGAATAGCAAAAGCAATTCTAGGCAACAGAGACATGGCAGGGGGTATTACAACCCCCAACTTGAAACTATACTACAAAGCTACTGTGATAAAAACAGCATGGTACTGGCAAAGAAACGGATCTGAGGACCAGTGGAACAGATTAGAAGATGCAGAAACAACTCCAGACACACTCAGCCATCTCATCTTTGACAAAGGAGCCAAATACCCTCACTGGAGGAAAGATAGCCTCTTTCATAAATGCTGCTGGAACAATTGGGTTTCAACTTGCCAAAGATTAAAACTAGACCTATATCTCTCACCATGCACTAAACTAAAATCAAAGTGGATTAAAGATCTAAATATTAAAACAGAAACGCTAAACCAGCTGGAACAGAGGTTAGGCAGAACTCTTGAAGACATTGGTGTAGGAAAATATTTTATGAACAAAACTTCAGTTGCCGGTGAACTAGCACAAACAATCAACAAGTGGGATCTCTTCTTACTAAAAAGCTTCTGCACAGCAAGAGAAACCACCAGCAGTGTGAAGAGACAACCCACAATGTGGGAAAAAATCTTCACCTGCTGTTCCTCAAAGGTCTACTATCTAGAATCTATAAAGAACTTAAAAAATTCAGACCTCCCAAATTTAAAGACCCAATCCAAAAATGGGCATCTGAAATGAACAAACATTTCTCAGACAAAGTAGAAGAAATACCAAATAAACATATGAAAAAGTGTTCAACATCATTGGTCATTCGAGAGATGCAAATTAAAACAATGCTGAGATTCCACCTCACCCCAGAAAGAATGGCTGCTATCATGAAACCAACCAATAACATGCTGACGGGGCTGTGGGGAAAGAGGAACACTGCTGGTGGGAGTGTAGCCTGGTGCAACCACTGTGGACTGGAAGAACTAGGACTGGAAGTCCCATTTGACCCAGCTATTCCTCTGCTGGGTATCTTCCCAAAAGAATTAAAAGAATCATACCTCAGTGATATATGTGCACCCATGTTCATAGCACCACAGTTTGTAATAGCTAAAACTTGGAAACAGCCCAAGTGCCCATCAACTGGTGACTGGATAAAGAAAATGTGGGGTTTATAATAAAATGGAGTACTACTCAGTCATAAAAATGAGAAATTAGAGATATTTATAGCTAAATGGATGCACATTGAGGCGATACTCTTAAGTGAAATAAATAGGACACACATGTGTAAATACCGAATAGTTTCTCTGGTGTGAGAAACTGAAAGTGTAAATAAGGACTAAAAGGTATAGTAAATAATGTGAAATAGGAAGAAAAGGGGCAAAGGGGAAGGAAGTGGGAGGGGTAGGGGAAAGGAAAGAAGGGAATGGAATTAATATGAGAAAATGTAAAAATGGAAACAAAGTCTTTGTAAATAGGGAGGCATGGAGGGGTTGAAGGGAGGGCAGGGGAAGGGGGAAAAATAAGAACCAAAAGAGACTATGTAAAGGTGCAAATTTCCAATGGTGAATGTCATTATATTGTATACCTCAAGTGTACCAATAAATAAAATTTAAAAAAAAAATACTGTGTCTAAGTTTGTGTGTCTGACTTATTTATAAAGAGCAAAATAAAAGACAGATAATAGGAAGTCTAATAGGAGATAGATCTTTCTCAAATAGGAAGGGACCAAGAGATGGAGTCAGAATAGGAGGGGAAGGAGATGAAAAAAGGAATAGGAATATGTTGTTACACATACCAAATCCACACAAGGAATAGAGACATTATGTAATGCAAACAGGTACTAATAAAAATCTAATAAATAAATTTTAAAAGTGTGTCTAAAGAATGCTAATTACCCAAATGAGAATTCAGTCAGACTTTCCGCTGTTTTCTTAGACTAGGGTCAGATGATTAGAGGTAAATGTATAATATCCTCCCTACAAGAGAGTAATGTCTTGTTTCAAAATGCTAAGACATTTGGGTGATGATGTGTCAAGATAGGTGTATTGATTGCAGCAAATGTATCACTCCAGGCCAGGATGTAGACAGGGAAGACTGAAGGAGGTATAGGGTAGGACAACAGTATAAGTACTTTCTGCTCAATTTTGCTGTGAATCTAAACAGCTCTAAAAAATATTTGATAAAATGCTGAGAAATAACACATCTGCATCTTATAACACTAAATTCAATACATTTTTACATCTAAAGACATAAAATTATTTTGGGGATCTCATTGTGGAAACAGTAAATCCCTAACTCATGCCATAGATTTTAAGACTACAAATTATCAATAACTAATTGCTTCCCTCATTTATTTCCACGTCTTCTATCTAAAGGCGGTCAAAACTAGGTGCACCTTGATGGCGGGAGGGCTGGGTCTGGGGAAAGAGGGGAATATGGGGAGTCTCTGCTTTGGACCCAATTTTGTTCTGTTTTCTGAATAGAAAACTAATGTCTTTCTTAAAATTCTCAACTTACAGGGCTGGGGATTTAGCTCAGTGGTTCCGCCGCCTGCCTCGCAAGTACAAGGTCCAGAGTTTGATCCCCGGTACCAAAAAAAAAAAATCTCATCGTGTGTTTTGTGCTCTCATAGCTTTTTGTTTGTCCCAACAAGTTGCCATATCTGATGACCTTGGACTTGACCTTTCAGAGCCTTTTTAAGAATTGTATTTCATAGAGTTTTTAAGAAAACAAACACATTAATATGGAGCACATAGATCGATTTCTGGTGCAGAGTAAGTGCTATATTAAGTGTGATTACTGCTCGTATTATTAGCCACTGATCATCAAATAGGACAGCGATTGTTTTCATAGCTATCTTTTCACTATACTGTGCACATCTTAAAAACCATGCCATTTTCCCTTTCTCTGTACACAAAGGGCCTAATATAAATTAGTGCCAAGTCAAAGTTGGCTGATGAAGGAATAAATTAAAAATCAAATTAAAGGCATTAAGGGATACAAATATCAATGAGGCACAATGCCATAGTCTAGTGGAAATGAAGAACATGTGCACGATGAAATAGCAACCCAAGTCTAGCTGTGGGAAAAGTGGAAATGGGAATAAACCATGCTCCTTGGGATAACAAAGAACAAAGCAATATATCCTGACCAGGATCCAACATGCTTTACAACTACTGTATGTTGAACCAGAATTTTAGTGAAACCAGAGTTGGCCCCAAAACACAATGTGTAAGTACCAATAAGAAAGCATCTGTCTGGATTTCAGCTCATCTGTGACCCAAAGATTCATTCAATTAAAAGAATTCCTTTTCCAACATGTCTCAGAGAAACTATGCCAAAGCCTTGCAGCCAGGAGCCTTTGCTTTTTCGGCTCACAGACCTGGTCTACTATAGAATTTGTCAGAATGTTGAAGACGACTGAAAAACAGCAACAATGAAACCTAGCACACAAAATGCCCATTTCTTCAATTTAGATTTCCTGATAGTATCTTACATCAATTTAACACGAGTTTTATTTCTCTTAATCTATCAGTAGTAAAAAAAAATATATATGAGATGTTGGGAAATTTAGCAGGGATAGTTATCTTACTGGGAAATGGAAAGAGAAAAATAGATGATACCAATCTATCTACCACTGCACATGTCCTCTAGCAAAAATTATATTTAAAGCGTCAAAGTCCTCTACCTACTTAAGACAGGGATAAAGAGAGTGAGAACATCTGAACACTACACGTTCCTACATGTGCTACATCAGGTCAGCCTCAAAAAGCTATTAGACTAAATAAGCTTAACGACCACCGATTAGTGAATTTATAAGGAACTCTAAATAGCTTATTCCTTTTAATTAGAGATTCTATTATTTTAATAACAATGCTTTATACTTACATAGATCCTTTCATCTGCAGAGCTCAAAAAGATTTTACAAGTGTGGTTTCATCATTATCCCCATTTTAGAGATTGGAAAATGGAGGTACTTAGTCACTTGTACAAACAAGAAGTTCTCAGCCAACCGTTCAAAAACTATTTGGATCCCACATTTTCAAAAGAACAAAGACACAGTTAGGCCCAGCATAATCTCATAAATGCCAAGTGGCAAGTAAGCCTTAAAGAGCGTATGGCTAATGCCAAAGTCTTCTGAAATTTAGCTCTTCCTGACAGTTAAGTTTAATCATTTCTTTTTGTTTCAATTTATCCCTATAGACAATAGAGAAGTTCTCTACAGAGAACTTGAGCATAAAATTGAAGGGTTTTTTTTTAATCCCAGAGCCTGTATTTTTTAAAATTTGTTTACTTATTAGGCTAAACTTCTTTTACCAAGTTCATGATTATAGACATTGTGGAGTATTTATTTGCCCAATGAAGCAACAAACTTCAGTTTCATCGCTAGTCTTCTTGCCAGAAGCTACACTACTCCTCTTCCTTAAGTTCTGGATGACCTCAGGGAGTCCAAGGGCCTCCACTTGCAAAAGAATTATAAGGCTACCAGAAGGGAGGGTCTTTAGGAGGCTCAAGATAAAGTTTCAATTTGAACAACTACTTGCAAACCATGAGAAGCTATCCTAGGAAGCCAAGCAGCTCACTCTTTGGAGGAGAAGAAAATTGAAGGGCATGTGTTTCCTTTGGGACACTTGACATACCACAAGATGACTGTTGCACACACAAAGCCACTTCCCAGCTCAGCCTCCAAGGACTTAGTCTGGTGCTCCAGTACTCAAAGACCATCTAGCCAACCTAAGTGGAGTTACCCAAAGTTGGTTCGTAAACAAAATGGAATGTTATTCATCCTTAAAAAGAAAAAGCCAGCTGTGGTGGCACACACCTGTAATCTTAGCACTCAGGAGACTAAGTCATGGAGATAGCAAATTCACAGCCATCCTGGGCTACATAGTGAGACCTTGTTGTGAAGAAGAAAAAGGAGGAGAAGGAAGAGGAGGAAGAGAAGGAAGAGGAACAGAAAATGAAGAAAGAGAGGAGGAGGAGGAGCTGGAGAAAGAGGAAGAAGAGGAGGAGAAGGGAGGAGAAAGAAATGTTTACCATTTGCAACAACATGAGTGAACCTGGAAGACATTGGGTTAAGTGAAATAAATCAGTCATAGATGGACGAACACTGCATGAATTCTCCTAAATGTACAGAAGTAGACAATAGAATACGTGGTGGTTACCAGGGTGAATGGGGAGCTGCTCCTCAGTGAGTATAACTTATAGTCACACAAAATGAAGACGTTCCAGAGATCTGCTCGGCAACACCTGCCTATCATTAACAATAAGTTATTGTGCCCTTAAAAATGTGCTAAGAGTGCAGAGCTCACGTTAAGCGTTCTTACAAACACAAAGCCAAGAGACACAAGGAAACATCTGGAGGTGATGGAAATAATTATGACCTTGACGTAGTCCTGGTAAAAAGAGGATGTATGTCCAAACTCACCAAAATGTATATATTAATTATGTGTAGTGTTTTGCCTACTAGTTATGCCTTAATAAACCCGGAAAGAGGAAAAGCCTGCTAAGTTAAGTTTATAGATATAATGCATCGTAAATCACCTTAAATAAAGAAACACAAAGTTGGAATGGAAAGAGTGATGGTTCTGAGTCTGGACTGAGAAAACCATGGAGAGGAGGAGGTGGTCACAGCCTGACGATGGGGTGATGAGGACAGCCAAGGCCTTGACACGGGCTGGAGATGGGGACCCTGTTCCCCAGGAAGCCCTGGTCCTTTGGGATGGACTGTGGCCATGTGACAGGCTGCACTTCCAGGACAAGCCCTGTTGGGCCACATTGCCTTTGCAGCATGGGATCCCTTTTGATTCTCAAAGTAGGTCGCTGTGACCCTGAAGTCTTGGGTCTTCTGGAGGGGTAATTTATAAACACCCCCTCAGCAAAGAGAAATAGAAATCACCCCTTCTCTTCTGCCATTTCCTATCCTTTCCATCCCCACCTTCTAAAAATAAAGATGCTAACTAGGTCAAAAATATAAAGAGGAGTTGGGAAGAAGTGCTGAAAATTATATCTGATTTACTAAAATTTTCTTCTCCAAAATTCTACAGAATAAAAACTCCCAACTTTCGAGAGTTATGGCACTTTGTTATCCATTGACATGGAAATAAGCGCTAAGGAAGTATTTGGGGAGTCTGGACGAAAGTTACCCTGTTAGTGTAGTAGCTGATCACAGAGGTGTTATGAAATCTAGCACCCCTGGTTAGACCAAAAAATTTGGAGACTTTATGAGACACTATCTAATAGAAGCAAATGTTCAATTGCTTAGAAGAAATGGACAGTATATATTCAATATGTTATTAAAATTTTTGTCACGATTAGTATCCAGGGAAAACTAGGACCTAAAAATTCTTTTGACTGCCATGATTAAAGATATATTTGCAAGATCTAGAGGTGTAGCCCAGTGGTAAAGCACTTTCCTAGCACATGTGAGGCACTGACTTCCATCCCCAACACTGAGATATATATATATATATATGACATATATATATGTCGATTATAAACCCAGAACTTTTAGAGTTAAGTTAAAACAATTAATGTCATTTCTTTTCTTTCTTATTTTTTGAGAGAGGGTCTCATTCTGTAGTTCAGGCTGGCCTTGAACTCAGTATGTAGCCCAGGCTGGCCTCAAACTCACAGCACTCCTCCTGTCTTAGCCTCCTGAGTGCTAGGATTACAGGTGTGCACCACCACACCCAGCTCGAATGTCATTTCTACATCAGCACCACAGGCCTTGGTACCTTGCCTTAGTCACATCTCTTCACACTCTTACACTGTTCAATTATCTGTATTCTCCTATGTCCAGCCATCATAGCAGAATAGAAGAAAGAAAGGTTTTAGAAAAGTGTCACGCAGCCAGCCACCAGAGAGCTGTGTCCAGGGACCTTGCCGGAGCTGCTGCTTGTGCTTCAGATGTCCCACTGGCCTAGAAGCACTTATGTGACTGCCTGGCTGTGAAAAGCCAGACAGGTAGGGGTGGGGAGTTGTTGAGAAACCCCAGAGCCAGAGGAATAAGAAATGCACCGAGATTTCAAAGAAGCACAAAGAACAAGAGACCAGGATGCAGATTTGGAAATGTCCAGTTTAGCTGCAGACTGAATAAAAGAAAGCCACTGTTACCCACTCATAACCATCCTCCCCGCTCACGGAGGACGCTGCCTTGCCTGTCTGCCCAACTTCGCCAAAGCCATGGCCCAGTCAGAGCTTTAATGAGAAAGACGGACTCTGCCTGAGACCTGCTCAGATCATGGGAAATGCTGAGGTCAGGGCTGCAGAACAGCCGCCTTCTGCTCCTGCCTCACAGCGATAACCACACTGCCGCCTGAAGCAAGCACCAACGCATCTCTCGGGGAGGCCAAGCATCCACCCTGAAGGGACTTGTTCTGAGTTTCAAAGCCGAGTCTCCAGCCCCACAGCCTCCCCTGCCAACAAACAAGCCAAAGGTATGTTGGCACGAGTTCATAAAACCAGGCTCAGCCTGTGTGCTGTTGTTAGGAAGTTTTCACAGCCAGATGGACTACAGGATATGAAGGACAGAAGTGAGCCATCAGCCATGCTGAGTATGCTTGCTACCAAAGCCTCAGCTGCTTTGTTTTTCGATTCCTCTGCCAGTAGTCTGTTCCTCTTTCTGCAGCCCCAGCCTCCCTCTCCACCAAGCTGAGGGTAGGCCACACCTGGCCCGAGAGGCCTCACCTGTGCACTTGCAGGTCCTGTGGAAGAACTTCCTTGGCCACTGCTCACGATCATCCCGGTTGCGCAGGACGTAAGGGCCACTCCAGGGCCTGCTGTCTGCTCGCACCTCTAAGCACTGGCCCCGGCCATCCTGGGAGCCACAGACATTGGTGGGCTCCACACCTAGGGGTGGGCAGCACTCCTTGCCCCTCAGGCTGTCTAAGGTCATGCAGACCCGGGGGAACTGGGCCCAGGCTCCGGGCCAGAGACAAGAGCCCAGGCAGCCGAGCAGGAGCCCCCACTGAAGGGGACGCATGGCTGTGTGACTGGGAGAACTCCTGCTTCCCACTCCTTGAATCTGTCTTGCCCTCCTCCGTGGCTTCCACTCTTGATTTCTTAAGCATTCATTCGTTCATTCAAAAAAAAAAAATTTTTGGTATTTACTTTTTTTGATGTTTTCTTCTCTTCTTAAAAAAATACCCACAAAAATCACAGAACTTACATATGTGCAAATGCATACATGCACACACACATGCTATTTTATGATGCAAACAACTACCACAAATTTAATTTCATTAGAAGCACCTCTAACAGCCACATTTAATGAGGGTGGTGCTTCTCACCATCTTCCCCTGTTAAATCAGCCTTTGTCTAATTGAGTTAATTTACAGAGTGCCCCAGTCACACTGCTTATTATGCTGGGATTTCTAAGCCTCCTCTTCCCCTCCTTAGTCCTTGACTTTAATTGCCTTGAACTCAGTTCAAAAGCCAAACTTCGTGTTGCTTTTATTCTGTCTGGGCTGCCAAGCCACAGGACCTTGTGGGGCTTGTGGAGGGCTGGGAGAAGCCATCATTAGGGGGATTAGTATTAGAGAAATACGCATCATTAGCACATGACCCAGCGTGTACAGTGAAGGAGGTAAAGTTTCTGGCGTTGTTTCCAGAGTGCAAAGCCATCCTCTTTATCGGGCTCATGTGCTCCAGCCAAGTGTGTGACCTCAGACTTCCTGGGAAGTCAGTCAAGGAGGCAGTGAGCTCTTCCTCAAAAGCCCTTTACAGAGAAGCACACACATTGCCTCATGACTGCTCACTGACATGCAAGAAAGACATGGCACGAGGTCACATAATTTCAAAAATAAAGAAATCTTTATTCAGGGGTGCTGTACAAGCAGCTGCTTTGTTCCACAATGAGGAGGTCTCTTCCCTCTAAATGTAACTTACTCTTCTCCTGTGCAGCAGATCTCTGCAGCAGATTTTTAAAAATTTATGTGAAGTAGCACACCACCCAAAATTCACAGATGTCATTACCTGATTGTAAGGAAGGTGGGGGGACAATTTGGAGTGAGGACTTATAAGGGAATCTTTTGATTTATATTAAAGTTAAGCATTGTTAGCTTCAGTCTAGAAAGCAATGCCTCCCTGGCACTTCTGGGGTCAGAAAGCAGAGTACAGATGTGGCCATGTCACGGCTCCCATGCATCCTTTTGTGTGGAAACAGTGCCACCAGCTCTGTATGAAAAGCTGATGTGAAACTGCTTCATTGAGTTTCTAACAATGCTTTTCTACATAGACATAAAGACACCAGATGTTAAGTTTCAAAGCAAATTTCTAAGGTTACAAAGAAAAATAAAGGTGCACAGATATTCCTCTGCGACATCCCCATGATATTAAGTTGTGACTAATTCAATGGTAGTTCTCACCTCCAGCTATACCAAAGCCCTATTGAATCAGAATCTCTCCAGTTGTGTCCCAGACATTTGCATTCTAAAAAAGTCTCTAGGCAATCCCACTGTGTGGCCAGAGGTGCACTGAACCACTGAACAAGAATAAAGCTGAGCTCCAGAAGAAACCCTGCAATAGCATGTGCTAAGATCCGAGCTTTACTCTGCTCAGACTGCTGTGATAGACTTCCACAAACTGGGCTGCTGAAAACAACAGCAGTGGCTTTTCTACCAGTTCTGGAAGCCAGGAGTCTGAATCAAGGTGTTGCCCAGGGCTGGTGTTTGTCGACAAGTCTGTAACATGGAGAATCCTCACCACTTGGACAATCTAGGATGGTCTCATCTTAAGACACTTACATCAATTACATGTGCAAAGAAGACTTTTTTTTTCCAAAAAAGGCCAATTTCATAGGTTCTGGGACATGGCTATATATATATATATATATATATATATATATATATATCCTTTGAGGGGGCATCATTCAAACAAAATATCATGGATGGAAAGAAATCTGAATAATACTAGAATTTGAAAACTCAGAGTTCAGAGGCCATCTGGGACCTTGTTCATTCAATCTCTGTGTATTTATTGATGACACTGTACCACTTCATGCAGCACTGTGATGTTTTGAGATTTTATTCCGCTTCCTGTGAACCCTTGGAGTGGCATAAATGTTAGAATCAAATTTTTTGGCTACTGAGACTGAGAAATCAACAATGCTCACATCAGAATGCTCCCTGGGAGAGTTCCTGGGATCTCTTCTGTCATTAAGATACAAGGGGTTCGATCCCCAGTACCAAAAAAAAAAAAAAGATACAAGGGGTGATTGAAAATATGATGAATGTTTAAATTTTTAAAGTGTATTACAAGCGCAAGGACCCAAGTTCGATCCCCGGCACCAAAAATAAAAGTCAGTTTTTAAAGTGTATTACAGTGAAAGACACATTGCCCTTAGCCCCCCTCAAAATATCCCCCCACCCCACTTGGAACACACATCCCATCCTCCTTGCCACTTTCTGAGGCAGTTCTGGAAGTCCACATTTGTGTCTTCAAGAGGTGTGATAAAAAAGGTGAATGCTGCTGCCAAGGGCCATCCAACAGAAAAGAGTCCTAGAAACTTTGTAGTGTGTCCTCATCCATCTTATTCACTGGATCTGGCATTGTGTGACTTGTGCTCTTACTCAAATTCCAAATGACTGTGAAAGGTAAATGTTTTGAAGCAATTCAGGACATCATGGCATCCACCACAGCACAACTAAAGACATGAGAAAAAACTTCCAGAACTGCTTCAGAAAGTGGCAAGAAGGATGGGATAGAGGTATTCAAAGATAGTGGGACTTGGAGGGAATTAATGGCAATGTGTTTTTACTGCAATGATTTTTTAAATTTAAACACCGTATTTTTATCACACCTTGTATGATTACTTGCTAGATTACTCAGCTCATCCGAGGCTTTAAATCTAGGGTTTCATAACTCCTCAAATTTACATTTCTGACTGAAAATTCAGTTGAGAGTCCTAGACTCATATAGCCAGTTCCCTTCTTGACCTCTCCCCTTGGAAGTGCAAACATCTCTCACTTAACATACTCAAAGCAGAACTTTCACTCTCTCTTCCTGTTTCTCCAGCAGGATCTCCACCTTGGTACCATCCATCTTTGACTCTTCTCTTTCTCCCTTCCCTGTATGCACTTTCCAATTCACTTGGAGCAAACTCCAAGGTTTTACTTGGATTCTTCCCATGCACCCCTCAGAGTGTTGTCTGGGGGTCTGGGAATGGTGTGCTCCTCCCTGCATCAAGATAAGCAGAGTAGGACCAAAAGTGAGAGCCAGCCCTTAGAAACTTCCATAAAAATTTAACACTGCCGCACACACGAGCACAAACTGGGTCTCAACTTGCCAAAGATTAAAATTAGACGCCTATCTTTCACCATGCATTAAAGTAAAATCAAAGGGGTTCAAAGATCTAAATATTAAAACAGAAACACTAAACCTGCTGGAAGAGAGGTTAGGTAGAACTCTGGAAGACACTCGCATAGGAAAAGACTTTATGAGCAAAACTTCAGTTGCACGTGAACTAGCACAAGGAATCAACAACTGGGATCTCATCTTATTAAAAAGCTTCTGAATGGGCCAGGGATTTAGCTCAGTGGTTCCACTGCCTGCCTGGAAAGCTCAAGGTCCCAAATTCGATCCCTGGTGCC